CTTCCTGCCTCCTTTGGTACCTGGTCATCCCCAGAGCATGATTTAGCCTCTGCCTCATGCATTCTGGTGTAAGTTATTTCAAGACTCCCAGAAGACACCTTATCTACTTCCCACCCTCCCACCAACTCAATTCTAGCAACAGTGTCCTTGAAGACACTGGACTCAGTCCTACCTCAGGGCCTTTGCATGTGCTGTCCTTGCTCCCTGGGAGTTTCAGTCCCCAAAGTGGTGCATGGAAACTCCTTCTCCCTCTCTAGGTCTCAGCTCAGAAGTCATCTCCTCAGAGAAGTCCTCCCTGACCACCTCATCCAAGGCAGTCCCTCCCTCCCTGTCTCTCTCTATCCCCAATCTGAGTTTATTTCCTTCCATCAATTTTCACCATTTATCTTGCTCATTTATGCTCCTTTCTGGATTATTGTCTCACTCTCCCCACCACCTCCAAAATCACTAGATACTTCCCCAGAGCAGGGCTTCATCTCTCTTGCCTGGTGCCTTATTCCCACCTCCCGTTAATATTGTCAGGCTCACTGAAGGTGCTCAGAAAATACCAGGTGACTCACTGAATGGTGCCCACTTGCCGCAGTGCTGTCTTGGATTCCTCATCTGTAAAATGGGGACAATGACACCCACCCCACAGTGCGGCTGTGAGGACTCAGGAAGATGCCATGAGCACAGAGCTCGGCACATGAGAGCTGTCAATCCATGATAACCACTACCCTAAGCTCATGCCCTGCACAGGAAAGGGGCTAGAGAAAAAGATAAAGCAAGTTCTCGCCCTGGAAGGTTGGCCTTGAACATGACCCAGCTCCACAGACAGCTCTCTCAAGACAGCCAGAGAGCAGCGTTCCCAGGTGGGGAGAGAGTACGAGCCCACCCAGCCTGGCAACCCTGAAGAAGGCGGGCTGCCGCACGGTGCATATTAACTAGCTACCCAGCTGCGGCTCACCTGGCACAGAAGCCACTGTGATCTCTGCTGCGTCCTGCATATTGACATTTGAGCAAAGAACACAAAACGCATTAAATAAATGTTACAGACTTATCGACAGAAAGAGTCTCCGGAGGGAATGCGCTTGGCCCAGAGCCCCAAGCCATGTGGCCTCCTGGCTGTCCTAAAACATGAGAGAGCTGCTGGCAGGAGTTACATGCTTGGTCCCGGGAGCAACCCAGGGGGCGCAGAGCAAACAGTGCCCAGAGAGAAGGCTAAAACACTAGGAGACCATTTCGGTCTATTTTTTTGTTTTGAAGAAACACTCTGGGTCTGGGGGAGGAGGGCTCTTGGGGGACATCTACTGATGTCCCTGTCCCCTTCTTCAGGTTACAACACACCACAGTGTTTAGGGCAACTACCCCTCCCCCACCAGCTAGAGACTTCGTGGTTCGGTCAATCAAAGTGCCCAGGCATCCTAGCTGGCCAATCCAGTACTGGAATTCTTCTTGGAAGATGAATCTTGAGGAAAGGGACAAAGAGAAGGGAATGCTGGAGATCCTCCTCCTGCAGGCTGCACCCTGAGTTCCTCAGCTTCAATTCTAGGACTGCCCACACACTTCCAGCAAATTCCTGCTTTGGAGAAGTTGGCCAGGGACGGCTCCTATTGCTTACAACCCAGACCCACACTGCAAAAGGTTCTCTGTGGAGTACAGAGTCCTGGCAGCTGCATGTGACCAGGTACCTGGGTCTGGGCCAGTGGGAAGTTCAATCACCTCTTCTAAAGAGATGTCCTGAGATTTCTCTCACTATTGCAGCAGCTTAGCCTGTAAATACTGCCCCAGTCAAAAACAAAACAAAACAAAACCCTTCAGAAGGGACTTGAGGGAGAGGATAGAGCCCTGACAGAAGTTAAGTGCCTTCTTCCAGTCTCTGAGAAGCTTTGCTGTTGTGGATTTGGAAGGAGAACATGGCATCTCAGGGCCCAGCCTCCCCCCGCTGCCCCTGCCCATGCTTTGCCTCTGAGGCTGGGAGCTCACCTTCTTCTCATCCCCGCCTTGCAGGAGGTGCAGGGCGCTCCTCCGCTCGCCCTCGTGCTGCCTCAGGGCACTGCTGTGGGGCTGGGGCGGGCCCCAGGGTGGGGAGATGCTGCGGCCTTGCGGGTCCACCCAGGTGTAGATGTGGTTGGTGATGTAGCCCCCAGGGATGCGCCCTGCCGAGTACACGGACAGCACCAGCTTCTTGGAGCCCTTCAGAGCCTAGAGACAGAGGGACACACAGGTTAGAGGGAAGTAGAAGATGGGGGGTTAAGGAACACTCTCCAATCACCCAGGGCTCACTTCCTCTCAGGACTCCACACGTGCAGAAGGGGGCCGGCCCCTAAGTCCCTTTCTTTTTCTAGCCCTCAGTTTTGTCCTCTGGAGATGGGGACATCTGTCCCACCTCTATCTTGAAGTGGTCCAAACACAAGAAATACGATCTC